ACCTGGGAACTCTGGAATTTGCCTACAACATTCTTAGTTTTCCTTTGTGGATCTCTTTCAGGAGGTGATTGGTAGATTCTTTCCATTTCTATTTTGCCCTCTGGTTCTAAAATATCAGGGCAGTTTTCCTTGATAATTTATTGAAAAAATGATATCTATGCTCTTTTTTTGATCATGGTTTTTCAAGTAGTCCAATAATTTTTAAATTCTCTCTCCTGGATCTATTTTCCAGGTCAGTTGTTTTTCCAATGAGATGTTTCACATTGTTTTCTATTTTTTCATTCTTTTGGATTTATTTTACAGTGTCTTGATTTCTCATAAAGTCACTAGCTTCCAATTACTCCATTCTAATTTTTAAGAAAGTGTTTTCTTCAGTGACCTTTTGGAATTCCTTTTCCATTTGGCCTGTTTTGCTTTTTAAGGCATTCTTCTCCTCATTGGCTTTTTGGACCTCTTTTGCCATTTGGGTTAGGCTATTTTTTTAAGGCATTATTTTCTTCAGTATTTTTTTTTGTTTCCTTTAGCAAGCTGTTGACTTGTTTTTCATGATTTCCTTGCATCACTCTCATTTCTCTTCCCAGTTTTTCCTCTATTTCTCTTAATTGCTTCTTAAAATCCTTTTTAAGCTCTTCAATGGCCTGGAACCAATTAAATATTTTTCTTGGAGGCTTTGGATGTAGGAGCTTTGACTTTGTTGTCTTCTTCTGGTTGTATGTTTTGATCTTCTTTGTCATCAAAGTAAGATTCTATGCTCTGACTCTTATTGCACTGCTTGCTCATGATCCCAGCCAATTACTCGAGTTTTAAACTTTTGTTAAGGTAGGGGTCTGCTTCCAGTGTAGAGAATGTACTGTCCCAAGCTTCAGGGGTTTTGTGCAGCTGTTTGCAGAGATGCTTCTAGGGACCTGTAAATTTTCAGTTCTTCCAAGGTAGTATGATAAGGGAAGAGGTGCTTACTCCTTTCCTGACCTGCGCTCTGGTCTGTAAGTGACCACAAGCACTCTCTTCTGCCTAGAAACTGTGAGTAGAATTTCCTCTCTACTGCCACTACAAGCTCTACCATGCCCCAAGACCACCAGTCAGAACTGTGACCCAGATCCAAGCATGGGCAAAGCAAGAGATTCCTGCCTCAGCACTGTCAAAGAGATCCCTGCAATCACCCTCTGATCAGCCACATGGTTTCCCCTCAGACTGTGGGCAAGCTCTGGAGGCAGCCGCTGCCCTGGGGCCATGCTTGGGGATCGGGGCTGGGACTTCACTTCTCTCTCTCACCACATTCACAGACTTTTCCCACTGACCTAAGTTTTCTTTGGCATTCATGGGTTGAGAAGTCTGGAAACCACCACAGCTACATGTGATTCAGTCCTCTAAGGCCTACTCCAGGTTCACTGAGCATGCTGAACTGTGCTCCTCTACCCACCAAGTGTGATATACCTTTTTGATCAACCATCCAGGCTGTCTTGGGCTGGAAAGTTGTTTCACTCTGTCTTTTTGTGGGTTCTGCTGCTTTAGAATTAGTTTAGAGCCATTTTTTACAGGTATTTGGAGGGGTTTGGGGGATAGCTCAAGCAAGTCACTGCTTTTACTCCTCCATTTTGGCTCTGCCCCACCACACAGCCCCCCAGTTCTTTGAAACCACAAAAAGTTGCTGCAATTAATATTTTGGGAGACAAAAAAGATGGTGAAACACAGAGGGAGACAGAGGCAGAAAACTTTCTTTTCTGTGACCTCCTTGGCATATATTCTTACTCATAGTACCTCTGGCTTAAAAGGTATCAACCTATTATTTGTTAACAAGAATCAAAATTGCTTTCAAGAATTGGTAGACCAATTCACACCTCTATCAACAGTGTATTAGTATGGCTTTTTCCAAGTATCCCTTTCAACATTGAACATTTCCACTTTTTGTCATCTTTGCTTATTTTGTCGATATAAAATGAAACCTCGATTGTACTTATTTATATTTCTCTTATTAATAGTGATTTGGAATAAGTTTGCATATATTTTAAATTGCTTGTATTAGACACTTAATCTCTCTGTGATCTTAAGCAAGATACTTAACACTTCTCAGCTTCCTTTTCCTCATCTGTACAATGGGAACTTGACAAGGTTGTTATAAGGATGAAATGAGATAATACACATAAAGCATTTTGCAAACATTAAAGTACCATGTAAATCTTACCTATTATTGTTGTAAATACTTTTTCTTTATATCTTTTAACCACTTATCCAATAAAACAATAGCTATTAAAAGCAATGGATAACTTCTATATTTGTATTAAACTACTGTAGATCTTAGATAAAAGACTTTTCTCAGAGATATTTAATCAAACTATCTTTCCCAATCAACAGTTTCTCCCTTTCAACCTAGCTGTAGTGACTATTTTTTTTGCAAAAGCTTTTTACTATTACATTTTTATTACATTACAATTATTTATTATCTTATTACTTTTTATTATCATTTGAATGTGTTTTATTTTTGTGATCTTTTCCATCCCTTATTTGTTTAAGAATTCTCACGTTGGGCTAGCTGTGAATGATACCTCTATTCCTCCTCCTTCGATATTTTTTAAAAACAATATGACCTTTTAAAATTTTATTTGGGTATTTATTTGAAAGTTTTTGTGGTATGTTTTATGTGGTGTAACATACTAGTGTAAATCTTTCTGTGACATATAACTTTTCATTTTCTTCTCACTTTTTAATACTTTATGTTGTTGAATTTATTGAACACTGGATTTTCAAGTTCCATCGTTTCTGATTTTTTCCTTCTTTAATCTATTCAAATCTACTTTTCTTTTTTATAGCCAATACCAAATGATGTTGGTGTTTAATACTTAATATCACAATATGAGATCTGTTTAGGCCATTAATTTCTTTTTCTTGGCTTAATGCTATGCCTTTTATTCTAGAATTAGGTCACATAAGAGGAAGAGAAGCAAGAATGTTTGTTTTACTCTCATTCATTTGTGGGAAAGAAGGACTCAATAAAAATCTTTTTATTCCTAAAGGGTTTTTAGTTCATTTTCTGTTTTTCATTTTCTTCTTGTTCTTTTCCTTTTTAAAATTTTATAAGGTTTTTAACTAGATCTTCCCCCTCATAGCTCCAGCAGAAATTTTTCCCTTGCAACAAATATGTATAGCCTAGCTACACTTATACTCAGACTTTCTCCCTTGTACTTTGGGTCTTTCAGCCTTTCTCTTGAATTCTAAGCAATTTATCTATCATTTCCTTCCTCTCTTTTTGGAACCCATGCTGTTCCACTGCTACACAAAGCCCCAGTAAGCAGATCAGCATCAGCCCTGGGGGATGAGGGAACCAAACTCAGGTTCCTATAAAAAGTATATTTTATTGGGAGAAGAGTCGTTCCAGATGGGTTTCTAGACCTTTTCTTTCTAATATGATGGACTTTCCCCTTTAGCTAAATCTACACTTCCCACAACTTTCTTCCACACCTCATTTCTTCTGTAGCTCTTCTTTTCCTTACTATAACTGAACAGAATTAGTGTTTGAAATTTCATGTTGGGTATGAAAAGATTCAAAGTGAGCTACTGCTATTGTGTAACTGAGTAAGGATCTCCACAGTAGGACCTTGAAGCATAAGATCACTTGCACTAACTGTGTGTGACAATGTTTTTGGGGCTGAGAGATGGGGAGCAATAAATGAAAGTGTCATTTTGCTGCCATTGTCCAATGTTATTTCACGAGGTTTTTACTTCATGAAGTGTTTCTATCCTCCAATCTTGGGGATTCTGCTTTAAGTATTCTATGCCTAATACATAATTCAATTTTCTAAGGGTTTTAGTTGGAGAGATTTGTGGAAAATAATTGCTCTACCATCTTGTTTATCATAAGATACCATATAATTGGTTTGTATCCTTATATACATATAGAAAAATGACATGAAGTTATGTAAAAGCACTGAATTTGAAGACAAAAGATTTGAGTTCAAATTCTATTCTGCCACTTGGAGAGTGGCTTTCCTAAAATCTCTAGGGTTGAGTAACATAAGATAAGTTACTTAACCTGTAAGAGTCTCAGATTTCTCATCTTTAAAATAAAGAATTTGGACCAAATTATTTCTAATGTACAATTCAACTGTAATACTCTGTTCAGCTGTTTTCTAGTGCATTGTTTTGCAAGATGGTTTGATTAACATGGCAGCTACATGGCAGAGTGGATAGAATTCTAGGCCTAGAGTCAGAAAGGCCAGAATCCAAATCCAGCCTCAGCCAGTTATTATCTACACGATCATGGGCAAATCACTTAACATCTGTTTGCCTCAATTTTCTCAACTGAAAATGGGAATAATAGTAGCACCTACCTCCCAGGGTTGTTGTGAGGATCAAATAAGACTGCTAACTTTATGTTTTCTTTATGTATTCATTGAATTAAGTATTTGATCATTTAAGGTCATGTTATCAAATTTGTGAAAACATCATTATAGCAAGAAATCCACAATCATAATTACTGACTTATTATTTGATCTTAAAGGAGAATGTGACAGCAATCATGAAATGATATAGTAAAGCACATAGCATTGTTCCCAGCACATAGTAGATGCTAAATAAATGCTATTTTTGTTGTTGTTGTTGCTACATCATGTGATCAATATAATAACCTTGAGATAATAAGGCCGGACATTCTTATCTTCATTTCACAGATAGAGAGACTGAGTTTCCAAAAGATTCACTAATCCAAAGTTATACATTTCTTTTAAGAGGCAAAGCCAATTTTCATCCCCAATTGTTTAGTCTTTAGTCCTTTACTTTTTGCATCACAGTCACCCTATAAGTTATCATGTTATCTCTTTACAATTTAGTATGTGATCAACATGTATTGATCTCATGTTCAAATCATTGTGTTACAAATCAGATACTGCCTATTTGTAGTATTTGTAACAGTTCTCCTATGAATTTAAAGACCCAGAATGATTAAAGAGTCAGGAGGCAAACTATTTCACAAGAACTTAGTATTTATTTCTATGTTTCTATTGCAGCTTCTGACATAGCAGCAGAGCAGGGGCAGATTCTGGTAATAGCCACTGCAGCAGTGGGCGGATTCACTCTTCTGGTCATCCTCACCTTGTTCTTTTTAATCACTGGAAGGTAATTAATATATGATAGAAATTTGAGTAAATTATAAGACCTCTAATTTTGTTTTCTTTGTGTATTTATTGAATTAAATATTTGATCATTTAAGGTCATGTTGTCAAGTTTGTAAAAACATCATTACAGCAAGAAACCAACAATCCTAATTACTTATTTATTATTTGGCCTCAAAGGAGAATGTGAGAATAATCATGGAATTATACTGTTACAATAGCTGTGAATACTTCATAACTACATGTATGAAAGCATGAATTTATCTCCATGTTGAGACATAACTAAGCACCAACTGCCACTATCTCTAAGGATTTAATAAAAATAGTTGAAGACCAATGAACAATAGTCATACCCAGAAATGTCTTCCCTGGATTTTTTTTGTTACCTTTGGCATATTATCTTTGTTGCAATGCAACTAGACTCCCCCTCTCCCCATAAAGAAGCTTTTATTTGAACAAGGTACTTAGAATGGTGAAATTTAACTCAGCTGTTTACCAACTAGAGGTAGCTAGGTGGTGCAGTGGATAGAACACTGGGGTTGGAATCAGGAAGACTCTTCTTCATGAGTTCAAATCTTGCCTCAAACACTTATTAGCTGTGTGACCCTGGGCAAGTCACTTAATCCTGTTTGCCTCAGTTCCTCATATAAAATGAGTTGGAGAAGTTGAAGAAGCAAACTATTCCATTATCTTTGCCAAGAAAACCCCCAAAATCACTCAGCAACAACAAAAATCTACCAACTAAGTAAACGTGCTGAAAATTGATAAGGTTTATTTGAATTTAAAAGCATAATTATAATGACATAACAATAATAGGGCTCTATGTGCCAAAAATTTAGCCTTAAATAGAAATGAAAATACCATGTTGCCTAAGGAAGGGCAAACTGTTCCAGATTGGAAAACAAAGTAGACCAAACCTCCCCTACTGATCAAGGTGGGACCAGGTCATAAGTAATCCATCTATTCCCAGACTGAGAGAGATAGGAAGACCAAAATCTTTTTTTTGAGTATCCCAACCCTGATGGGGTCAGATCTCTATAGAAACAGATCTGACTTTCTAATTTCCTCCCTAGAAAAACAGAGCTATCAAATAATTCTCTAAATAAATATTTCTTTGAAGTATAAATTTTACTTGATATGATGTCTCTGAAAGCTCTGTGTATCAAAATTTTACTAGAATATATTAAAAATTACACAAGTCATAGCCATTTTAAATTCTCAGTCACTATTTTATTTCATAAAAACAAAAATCAAAATTGTCAATCACTCAAAAAATAATCATTGAGTGCATGTTATGTGCCATGTAGTATATCTTTATACTCTTTTGTCATTCTATTCAATTTATTTTGAATCAGTTATAGTGTGTGCTTTGTGGAAGGGCTATTTGTATATTTTGTGGAATATGATCGTTATGTCAAAACAAAGCATACCATTTTTTAAATTAACTGATTAATTTAAAAGTATTCATAGAATGAAATACAGAATTCCCACCCCCAACCCATGGGTGAAACAAACTAGCAGCAGAAAGAACAATAGAGTTGGAATGTGAGGGCCTGATTCAAATCTCAGCTCTGCCACTCACTACATGAGGGATTTGGGGCAAGTCATATCACCTCTCAATTTCAATTTCCTCATCTGCAAAATTGGAGTTTGCATTACATGACTTAGGCTCCTTCCAGTTCTAATTCCATAAGTCTATACTTTTTATACATGTAGATCTCATAATATTTTAATCTAATTATTATCACTTTGCATAGAAAACTTCTTTTACCTGGGGAGGTTATTAGCTGCCAAATGTAATGTTAGTTTAGGTACAGAAAGAAAACATTTTTCTTTTCTCCTGTAATTTGTGCAGTGCTAAATATAAATCAGCAGAGGCTTAACACTTAGTAGAAAATCACCAAATGGTTTTTCTAAACTTTAAAAAAATGCATGAATTAAGCCAGAAATTCACTATAAGAAAGAGTCCTTCAAACTTATAGAATGTGGAAGACCTGTGCCTTTATCTCAGCTCGCCATCTGCTACTATTTCTATGGTCAAATTATTATACCCTGTTTCCCAGTGGTTTATGTTGAAAAATTGTTAGTAGTTTTCTGAGTTCAATGAACACAGTTTTGAGATGTATGGAAGCATTTTGAAGCATATTAATCTTTATAACAATAAAAATATTGGGTTAGGTAAAAAATGATCAGGGCAGATACAAGCTACAAATTTGCTGACCAGATTTCTAGGGTCTACCCCAGCTCTAGAAATATTCCATTGATTGTCTAGTATTAGCAGATTTCAAGCCAACAACACTTTCTAGGCACATGCCAGAGCCTTGTTCCTTAACCAGGTTCAAATGTCTTACCATTCCTATTAGGTATTGCTATCTCCTCCCCCCAGTCAAGCACATTTTAACAAGACACACAAGTCATAACCTGGCAGAGATGGTAGAAGAGTAAGATAAGTTCAAATACTAGGAAAGGTGAAATAAATAAAATACTCATTAAAGAATTCCTGGTATTTAAAATGTAAGCTGCTTAAAATTATTTGAGTATGGCTGAAGAAAAAAAATTAACCAAATTGTTAACCATGTAGGGACAGCTACCTCTTGAGTGATAACAAGATGTAAGATAGATACTAATACTACCATCTCTACTCTGACTCTGTGCTCTATATTTCACCTCCACCCAAACGATCTGTGATTTCTTCACTGTAGATAAATCTTCCTAGTATCACAGACCACACCCTGTCTATGACTTAGGAAATAATTCCCTGGGAGTGGCCTGAAGCACAAAGAGATTTAACCCTTGTCCAGGGTCATAGTTAGCATCAGAGATGGGCTTTGAAGCTCTCTTAAATCCAAATCTAGTGTCTATTTATTGCATAAGACTGCATTTATTTCACTGCATTTGATAATTTAATTATTTTAATCACAATCATTACTATATTGAAATTTTCCTGTTATTTTGAATTTGTCTACTCATTCTGGAAAGAGTGGATTTCAGTTTAAGGAATCTTGTAACCCATCTAGGGGATTTACTTATTAAAGCACAAAAGAATGCTTTAAGAGGAAGTCTCATCTCTAGGGATATCAAGGATAGTGTTATTGATACAAAACACTAGCTTAGTTTAAGTTATAGTTTTTCATCCAGAAAGTTATCATATTTCCCTTAAATAAGTGATTTTAAAAGTTTGATACATCCTTCAGTGTTTGATACACAAAGGTCAGAATTGGTGGGGGGAAGGTTTTCCAGCAGAAGAAATCTGAAAATTTTCATGATAGATTTTGATTAAAGAATAAATACTCAATTAAGAGGTATTTATTCAATGGTAACATTCAATGAAATTCACCTATCCAGATAAGTGAATTATACATACCTATCAAATACCTTCTTTTCCAGAAAAGTTTTTTACCAATATTTTTAAATAGCACGGGCAGGTATTATTTTAATAAAATTATCATTAAGATAGCAGAAAATGTTTTATCAATGCTGAATTGTTTCTAATTAAATGTGTTTTGTACTTGCACAGTGAAAAGTTTATGATCATTCAGGTACAAATTAATTCAATCCAGTAAAAGTTTAAAAGACATGTTTAAACCTAAATTTCAGATGAATTCCTGGAATACAATTTGAATTCTGTTTGGGAAAAAAAACTTAATAATGTCATAAGTATAGTACCAGGGTGGATTTTTTTGTTCTTTTTCTCATTCTTTAAGTCAATTCCTTGAACACTGGAGACTCTTTTAGTTTTCTAACATACTATGAATAGAACTGTTTCAATTAGATAGGATAAAAATTAGTTTTTGGAAGTATCACTTAAACATAGTGATAAAGAAGCATTCATTGAAAATTATGCTTTGAAGAAAAAACAATAAATTTTAAAATAAGTATCCAATTTGCCATAGGACATTGAAGCAAATTCCACTTTGGAAGACTGAATTGGTATTCTACAGATGTTTTCTGCTTCACCATTTAGAATTAGCAATTTGATGAACTGTCATATCATAAAGATGTTGATGAGTCTATTCATATTGAAGAGGCAGAATATGAGATAAGCACCTGCCTGTGTACTTCATCACATGATTATATGCACTAAGAGCAAGCAGAACACATTTCCATCAAGTTTCAGATGTGAAATGAAAATTGTAATGACTTTGATCCCTCCCAAATGGAAAACAGTTGGTTAAATTCCCCAGAATCTCACCCTGAAGCCTTCTATGATTTATTTTTATCATTTAAGATGAATTCTTGGTGCCTGTCCAAAACTTAGCACCATTTAGCAACTATACAACATAGGGGCAATCTGTGTAGCTGGCTACAGGGGACTTTCTCTAGTCCCTAACACTCATACAAACATAACAAAATTGAGAATGTGAAGTTTCTATTTCTCAATTCATTTATCATTGTTTTTGATGATATCTCAATGTCATCAGCCAACTTGGGCTTTCACTCAAAACCTTGTATAGGATTATATTCTTGATAAAACTATACTCCAGGAGATCTGTGATCTCATCACTGAGAGTGTATTCTTCAGTGATATGAATCACAGCTCATTCATATCTGCCAATCTCATGTGATGTTAGTCCATTTCTTTCTATTCCCTTTGAAACTAGGGGTAACTTGAATAAAATTATGTTTTAATTTGTCTTAAGACAATATAATTCTTAGTGAATCAGGTATACCTTAATATCCTTCATCCTAAATTATTCAAATTCATATCTAGCACAACTCTTCAGGAGATGGGAACAATATTTTTAAATAGGACTCTGTTTGCCCTTCCAAAAGGTGCCAGTGGTACATAAAGGCCAAAATGAAGTCTGAAGAGAAAAGAAGAAATCACCTACAAAATGGACACTGTAAGTAATGTTAGCCGATGTCATGCTGCTTTTTCTTGCATGACCTTCTCTGTTCATACTGCCTCACAAGTTCATTTAAAATTTGCATTTGTTCAGTCAAGCTGGGCTTTAAAAAAATCTCTCACTTCCTACCCTTCCAAATTCAAGCTTTTCATCAGTTTTGCAGGTTGGTCTGTGAATTCACACCTGCTCCTCATTAGATGATATTAGTTTTCCCACTTCTGCATGCTGGGAAACATGACAGGCTGAATTTGCTAAAAAAAAAAAATACAAGTCAGCTATATTCTATTGAGTTATTTACCACTCACACTGTCTCTAAAATGTGAGCTGCTTTTAGTTAGAGATGTATTTTGCACAATATGATGGGGAATTCTCACATCTTTTTCTAGGGAATATAATTTTCAGCCTAAAACAAATTGACAGAATTCATTAAAACATTCAAAAATAGAAAATCAGCTTTTTAATTATAGAATATGTATAAAAACCTTCATGCTGACTGCAAAAGCACAGTCATTTAAAGGACCTCTTCCCAGGCAAGGTACAATTACCATCAAGATTAGTTTTATCATTTCCTTCCTCTAAGTTGTAAATTTCTCTGTGAGAATTACTGTGTATATAAAGGGCTGAAATGATGACAGGAAGGTGAAGCTCTCTAACCACAGTGTAATTACAGAACATGAAAAACCTGTTTAACTGTTGAACCTATGTTTTCTACCATTATTATTCAATTGGAATATGAATCTCTCCAAGCTTCTTCTCATAACAAATGAGAACTATAAGAACTACCTAGGCCAGAAACAATGATACAATTTGCCTTTATTTTCAAAGGGAATTTCAAGTCTATTACAAAGGAAGAGAGCATTGAAAACAGTGTCAAGCTATGATTCTAGAAAGGAGGGAGAGAAAGATTTAAAGCAGACTTAGTCCTGGAACCAGACTGCCAGAGACATGTCATGACAGGAAAATTTAAGAGCTGCTTCAGAACCTTAGTTCTTAGAATGAATGGCTGAATTATAATAATGAGGAATTAAATACAAGTGTACTACCTAGCAGCTAGAATATAAGTTCAAATAGCCTATATTTAGCCAAACAGAAGTAGTACAAATGGCCTGGGGTGAAGCATTGTTAAGAAGAAGACTGCAAGTCAATGTTTAGAGAAAGAGAGAACAATTAAGTTAGTAACAAGATGATGAAAACTGTATCTTAGAAGCATTTCCCCCTCTCAATTTGGTCTGTGTTATGGCTTATGAGCAAAAACTTAATTCATTTGTCTTAATTAAGTATCTCTTTTTAATTTTATAAAAGAACATCAGTGTATCAGGTATCTAACATTAGTACCAGGTCTACTGAAACACCCCTAATCATAAGTGATAGCTCCCATGTTGTTGAGTTGTTTCAGTAAAGTCCAACCCTTCATAACCTCAATTGGGCTTTTCTTGGCAAGTGGTTTGCTATATCCTTCTCCAGCTCATTTTACAAATAAGAAACTAAGGTAAATAGAGTTAAATGATTTGCCCAGGATCACAAAATAAGTGTCTGAGGCTAAATTTAAACTCCTGAAGATGAGTCTTCCTGATTCAAAACCCAGTGCTCTATCCACTATACCACCTAGCTAACTAGCTAGATACCATAGTTGAAAGCAAATCATCTAGAATGAAGTAAAAAAAAAAGTATAGTACTTTTTCCTGAAAACTCAACCCTTGCAACCTGTGCATCCAGGATAGAAATGGTATATCAGAGCCATAACCAGGATATGGTGATCAGGGTTTTGCATTCAGATTTCAAAATTAGAGGATGCTGATAGCACTTGCAATTCTTTAGCAACTGAGAAAAAACAATATATCATAGCAACTGAGCAAGAAAACTTCAACTAGAAGAACTGGAATTGTCCTGACAACCAAGCTGCATCATTTGACACACCTAGTCCTCATAGTTAGAATGATATGTTTTATTTGCTATTTGAAAAGGTCTTTACAATGCTAAGGATGTTAATAAAGATACATAAAACAAATGAAAAACTAAGCCTTATTAAGTTTCAAGTATCTAAAAAAAAATTTCAACTATCAAATGGCAACCTACATTGAATACATCCCCAGCCCATCCATCCCTGATACACTCTTCCTTCTCCTAATTCCACTTGCCCTAGGTACATAAATTTCTATATAAATACTACAAATGAAACTGAAAAAGTAGCCTTCCTTTCTTACTTTCCCTCTAACCTCATTCTTGAAAAATCAAAAATACAGGTGATTTGGGCACAGCCAAGATGGCAAAGGACTGGCAGCAATGCATCTTTCCCAATATTCCCTTCCTAACAACTTCAAAATAATACCTAAAATCAAATTCTGGAGTAGCAGAGCCAATAAAAGGTCAGGGAAAGACATTTTCCAGCCCAAGAAAACTTAGGAGGTAAATAGAAGAGGTCTGTGCAACTGGGGTAGGAGTCAGCCCAGAGCACAGTGCAAACAGTGGCAGCACCAGTGGCAGGCCTTGGGGTTGGCTGCAACAGCATCAGCAATAGCTTCAGGAGCTCTCAGCCTGGAGATGGTGGGGAAAGTAGACAACTGTTCAGAAAGAAATTGCAGGTACCCGTTTGCTGGCACTGGGTGCAGGACTCTGTTATGTTGTCCATACACAGTTCAAGGTCACAGTTCCAAGGTGAGGTAGAGCATCAGCACTTGTGTCCCCTGGGGACCTGGACTGCTAGTCACAGTTCCAATGCAGACAGGAGCACTAGCACCTGTGGTTGCAGGAGAGCAGGTGCCCTGGTCTGAGGCGGAAAAGAGTGCTTGTGGTCCCTCAGAATGTAAAAGGGGCCCTGATCTCAGTTCCAAGGCAAAAAGGAGACCTAGCACCTGTGGCCACAGGGAAGTAAGTCCTTTCTTGGGTGAAAACCAGAGCACAATACTGAAGTGCAGTGACTACACCTCTTCTTGGATCATACCATTTTGGAAACATCAAAATCTTACATGTCCCCCAGAACTAGTCTTGAAAACAGTAGCACAAAAAACTTCGAGCTTAGGACAGTGCCCCCTCCACCCTGGGAGCAGAGCACAACTTTAAATAAAGTTAAAAGTCAAGAAATAGGGTGGAAAATGAGCAAGCAAACAAACAAATAAAAAAAAAAAGAACCTGACTATAAAAAGCTACTATGGTGACAGGGAAGATCAAGACACAAAGTCAGAAGAAAACTTTAATGTCAAAACAGCTACAAGCAAAGCCACAAAGCAAAAAAATGTGAATTGGACACAGGTCTAATAAGAATGCTTGTAAGAGCTCATAAAGGATTTTTAAAATCATTTAAGCTAGGTAGAGGATAAATTCAGAAAAGAGAGTGAAACAAGAAAACTATGAAGAGAGTTAACAGCTTGGTAAAAGAGCCACAAAAATACTAAAAAAATAATAACAGTAATACCTGAAAAAAAAACTATAATTGATCAAATGGTAAAAGAGACACAAAAATTCACTGAAGAGACAAACTTCTTAAAAAGTAGAATTGGCAAAATGCAAAAAGAAACACAAAAATTCCCTGAAGGAAAAAAACTGTTTAAAAAGCAAAAATGGCCAAATAGAAAAAGAGGTACAAAAGCTCACTGAAGAAAATTATTCCTTAAAAGCTATAATTGGGCAAGTGACAGCTAATGACTCCATGAGACATCAAGAAACAATAAAATAAAGTCAAAATAGGGGAGGAGATAGAACAAAATATGAACTATCACACTGGGAAAACAACTGACCTGAAAAACAGATCAAGGAGAAATAAATTAAGAATGATTAAACTACCTGAAAGTCTTGATGAAAAAAGAGAACAGACATCACATTTCAAGGAAAACTGCCCCATTATTGTAGATACAGATGGTAAAATAGAAATTGAAAGAATCCATCAATCTTCTGAAAGAGACACCAAAATGAAAATGCCTAGGAATATTCTAGCCAAATAGGTCAAGGAGAAAATAGTGCAAACAGCCAGAAAGAAACAATTCAAATATAATGGAGCCATAGTCAAGATCAAACAAGATTTAGCAGCTTTCATGTTAAAAACAGCAGAGGGCTTGAAATATGATATTTGTGGAAGCAGATCCAACCAAGGATCACAACCAAAAACAACTTATCCAGCAAAACCAAGTATAATCTTTCAGGGGGGGAAAGATAATTACTGAAACAGAGGATTTTCAAGCATTCCTGATGAAAAAAACAGATCTAAATAGAAAATTTGACATTCAAACACGGGACTTAAAAGAAGCATGAATGAATAAACATGAAATCATAGGGGATTTAATAAAAAAAAAAGTAAACTGTTTAAATTCCTATATGGGAAGATAATACATGTAATTTCCAAGAACTTTAACATTTGGCAGTTAGAAGGAGTATACACAGACAAAGGGCATGGATGTGAGTTAACTATAAAGGGATAACCCAAAAAAATAGAATTAAGAGGTAAAAAAAGAGAGATGCACTGGGGGAAGGAGGAAAGGAAGAGAATGGGGAAATTTATCTCACATAAAAGAGGCATGCAAGAAAGAGCTTTTATAATAGAGGGTGAAATGGATGAGATGGTAGGCAACACTAAACCTCATTCTCACTAGAATTGGTTCAAAGAGGGAATAACATGCACACTCATTTGGGTATAGAAATCTAACATCCAACAAAGAAGTAGGAGGAGAAGGGGATAAGAAAAGGGTGTGGGGGCTGGTAGAAAAGAGCGCAGTTAAGAAAAGCAGTGGAAAGAAGCAAAACAGACTTTTGAGAAAGAAAGAGAGAGAGAGAGAGAGAGAGAGAGAGAGAGAGAGAGAGAGAGAGAGAGAGAGAGAGAGAGAGAGAGAGAGAGAATAGAGAGGGAAACAGTAGTAACAGTTAATTAGTTATTAGTAAAAATAACTGAATGTGAATGGTATGAACTCACTCATAAAACAGAAGCAGCTAGCAGAATGGATTAGAAACCAAACAACAACAATATATAGCTTACAAGAAACACAATTAAAACAGAAAAACAAATACAGACTA